CCTTCCTGCAAAAGTATTACTTTATGTCTCGAAATCATGGATTTTAGGTCTCGAAATACTTTTTACGTGTTCATAAATACATATTTACAAAACCTCAATAACGCAGCAAAGTATTAAGTCCACTTTGTCTTTTCACAAATTGAGGCCAAATTCAAGTGACTTCTAAGTCCCACAAGAACAGCCAGAAGTTTAACTCTGGACTCCCTAACCCAGTCTTCTATATTAAACACATGAGCAAGAAAAACCTTTAGATTTTATTTTGTTAGCAACATAAAACATTTTCCAATGTGTTACCATCTTTTTGCATGTAGTATCAGGTAATATGGGCATGCAGCCTCAGTGGTTTTTTCCAGGTCATAAATGATGAAAGGGTAAAACCCATAGAAAAATTAGGAAAATACACTTAGCAGCCAACACAAGCAACGCATAGGAAGTGCTGTAGGCAATTGGGTTTAGAAGTATAAACATCACATTAGTAGACCCAAGAGATAGCATGATGTAGCCACACCTGGAGAGACACTCTCCTATTCCCTCCCAACCCACTAATGAAAACAAGACTGAAGCCAAAATACGAAGATTCAACTATACAACATCATTTTTGGTCTCAAAGACTAACTACATCAAACAGACGTAAAATAAGCTGGATTCACTTCAGCCAAAATATGTTTCCACTTGAAACAAGATTGAGTTCTGTCTAGAAGACCTTGGGGTTTTACTAGGTGCTGTAAATCTGTTCAGCAGCTGCGGGTGGCACCAGTTTCACAATAAAGTGGACCATGGAGTAAGTAGAAAAAGTCCTAGGTAAAATAACTGAAAGCTGAACAATGAAACAATCATTAATCATTCATAGCTATTTCCTGTGGGAAATATGTGCCCTTATTATCTGGATATCACAATGAAATATTCACATTAGTATGTGGCTCACAAAATACCAAGCACTTTCACTAGCTAATCATCTTTCAAAAATACTTTTAAAAACCCCACAACCACAGAGAACTCAAAAAAAACAAATTACCCCACAATCACCGTTTTCTCAAGAAAATGGGTTAAATAACCAACACTTAAATTAAAAAAAAAAAAACCAAGCAAACAAACAAAACAAAAAATGCTCTAAATATTTCATTGCATCACAAAAGTAAATGGTTATGTTCCTGTAACTCTGAGCATGCACAAATCTCCAACAACTGTTCTAGCTAAAGGCTGGCAAATTAGTCCTAGTAGACTGTTGGTAAGGCCAGGGGCACATATATAGCAATTCAGACAGCAGAAACTCACCTGTGGGTGCTCCACCCAAATTATAACACCATTTATTCTAACACAGGAAAGGCAAACCAGCCTGTGGTCTGCATTAATCGAACACCAGACAACATACTGAAACCAAAAATGTCACTACAGGGGTCAGGCCTGATTGAAACAGGCTGCAAAAAGTTGGGTGTTTGATCCAAAGGTGGCAATACCTTGCTCATGATCAGAGCGTGTTCCAGCAAGAACCTTACAGTTGATGAATCAGTCACCCAGGGGACTGCAAAATATATATTTTCCAGCCACATCCCATCAAATATCGTTGATTAGAGGAGAATCCTCCTCATGAGGCTGCTACTACTCTGATCTGTGGCAGAAAGCTAAGGCTCACCTCTGCATTCCTTTTATGAGCCATCCTCTGCTCACCTCTTCCTCCCTGCTACGTAACCCCACTCTTGCAGCTCTTCCAGAATAGTTTCACTTGTCATGAGTAACCTGACTCTGACAGAATGATCCAACATAAGCTACTATTAAACGGTTTCTACACTAATATGGGTCCTTTTAGTAGAACCAGAGTAGAAAGCAAATGCGCACAAAATCACACCTGTATACCTGGGGAAGAGGAGGAAAGACAAAGGGAGGAGCAGGCTGCAACAACAATTCCTTAATCTGGCTCAGCTGTATTTCATCTCGTTACAGCCTCAGTAACCCTAAAAGTGAAAACCAAAGCTTCTGTGAAGACTTCCAAGCATGGTACTTTCTGTCTATCTGACTAGAATAACAACCTTGATCTTGGGCTGAATAAGTCACAGGGGAAAAAGAGAATCCAAAATACCCCTGCAGTTGTGAAAAGAATGAATATTACAAATACAGCTCCCAAAAGGGAAAGAAAAACAAATTAAAATCAAAGATAAGCATATAACTCAAGTTCAGAAGAAAACTGTCTATTTGACAAGTTTAGAGGAAATAATGCATGATTTCAAAATACTACTCTTCAGTAGTTTTTTTGCACAAAAATTGCTAAATGGCTTTCAGTCCATATATTAAAAAAAAAAAAAGCTGTCAATGTAAGTAGTGCCAGAGAGCTGAAATTCTGAAGGTGATGATAAATGTATCAAAGTACTTGTCCAAACCATTAGGAGAATGTTACAGATGAACTTTGGAGCGTGCAGTCTGTCTAGTCCACTTACATCCTCCAACATGGATTTAAAACTCATCCAGACTCCAAATGCCCAATTCTGCCATAGCAAACTGCATCCAAGATTACAACCAGCCTTTTTGATTTATTGCCAGCAGCACAGGTTCCTACTCTGCACTTTTTGTTTACTAATATTTTTCAAACAGATTGCAGTCCTATCAATAAAGATGTGCCTTTTCTCTGGCCATGATCCTGCTCCTTAAAAAGTACCCATATATGGAACACCTTCAAAAACAAGTCAGATGCAGTTTGGGTAAGGATATCGTGAAGGATCCTTGATGATACTGTAGGAACTTGCATGCTCCACAGTCCTCAGTCCCCTCTAGAGGGAGTTCCCTAACTGCTCTAAGGAATGGAAAACTGTCCCAGACACTGCACAATCCTTGGACCTCATTCTGCCTTTGCTTCTTTGATTTTCCCTCTGAATGAGCTGCATGATTTTTGGAAAAGGGTATCATTGTCAGGTTTGGTTTCTTCAGAAGTTACTTACCAGTAAGCGTTTTTGCATTAGCTTGTCCTTACTTGGCCTCAAACAGGTAGCTTTACAATGATTTAAGCAAGCAGATCTAACAATATATATGGATTCAAACCGTGACATACTGAATAAGAACCACACTCAGTCACCACTTGGAGAAAATTTTAAGGCTCGACTTCTGAAGGATTCATTCCAGATCTGCATATGCCTCAGACAGAAAAGTCATCCTTTGAAAACTGAGCTGAACATAAGTTCATCATGGCAGGAGAAAGTAATCTTTCCTGTTCTGAAAATATTTGTTAGCTTCACCATTTAAAATCTGAAAAATCAAACCTTAATCTAGTTTTACAGACTTCATGTGGCCAGACTTTGTGGCCTTCTCTGCTCATGGTGGAAGAATAATATGTGATAGAGCTTAGCTGGGACTCCAAAAATGAACTAATTTTTTTCAAAGCAGGAGTGTATTTGTTTCCTTAACACAGCATGAAAACAGAAGAATGACCATGCCTGACTGCTCAATGCAATACTTCATTTACAAATCTGATATCTCATTTGAAATAGTTGTATATTTCTTTTCTATTAAGATACACAGACATCTAGCACTGGAAAAAGTACTTGCAATAGAAACAAAACATTAAGACTATTCAAAAATTTGATTCCTTTTCAGCTAATAAAACGTTTTACAGGGCAGAGAAAAAAAAATCTGAAATCAGAGCAGGGATAATCACTACTGAAATCGGCAATTCCTATCCTTACTCCAAGTACAAAGTAATCCATTACTTCTCTGTAGCAGTACCAGAGTACTTAAATTTCTTATGCTGGCCAGTAAAAACTATAATCAAGGTTCCTCCTCATTTTCCCTGATTTGTCTTTTATTTAGGTAACAGTGGCTTCTGAGTGTCTGTTCTTCTCCTTATGCCATTTGCTATAGAGGATATAACTTGTGGAAGGAAATAAAAGGATGCTTTACTTTCCCCTATAGATGCATAAGGCAAGCAATGACCCAGCTCTACATATGCTATATATTACAATGCCGTTATGCTTGCCTTAAGTGTCTCTTTCCTTCTTTTTCTTTGTTAATACCATATGGTATTAATTATCTTTGTGGGTACAAAAAAAATAAAGACTTCTTGAAACCACATTTGCTTTATTCCTGACCACTGTAAAATCAGTAATAGAATACACTGTCAAACCACTGGCATGGAATGTGAATAATGTCTATCCTGCCTTCTGACTTCCCTCTCAGACAAACATACACGCAATTATATTACAAAATGTGAGGTGAGGAGAAAGAGTTATGCCAAAGTTAGGATCCACTGTACGCTACCACTGCTAACACCAACTACCCAAGCAAGCTTCACAAATTCAGTTATTCTAATAAAGGTCTCAAGGCATTGACAATGATGGGCCTGAGGACAATAAAAGCTAGAAACACTCTAGAGGAAAAAAGCATGCCATTCCAAAAAGCCAAAGAAGTGAATCAGTATTTTGACATGGGCTACTGCAATGGCCAGTTAACAGTACTGCCTAGGTTACTAGGAGCTAGAAAATGAGGTAATGGGGGAATGAAAGCACCAAAAAAAACATACTTAAAGCAAGGTGTTAACTCTTCCAGCATTTACCAGTCAAAGTGTTTTCTGAATTACACTCTAAACTATTAAGGTTCTTCACCAAGGTAGCAAATTACTTAAAAATCCACAATATTTTAAAGCTCTGTAGCTGAATATTCATATTACCCCACAGTGCTTAGATTGCTTCAAATGGGCACAAGGGAAATCTGTGATGCTCACTTTGTGGTTAGTTACTAATGCAGCAACATTTTGCATTAATGAAACTCCTGATGTGTATTAATTACTGTACTGGCTTGTAACACATTTTTGTGCCTATTAGTTTGCTAATACATAGAATAAAAATAATCATGTATGACTCGTGCGAGTAGGGAAATGTAAGCCACAGCTCATCTGAATTTAGAAAAAACAGACTATATTAAGAAACCATGTAGTTTCTCACCAGTTACTCTTGTGCATGAGAAGATGCCATTAACAAAATGCATCAGCACATCTGAGTTCCTAGAAATGAACTTACCTTGGAGTCCCCAGAAATCGCTGTGATCTCAGTTGTTCAGCCACATACAAAGATGCTGCTGTTGCCAGTAGTTCTCTTCTTTCAAGATCTGTCAACTTGTGTCCTAGTTTTTGGAAAGTAGTTTTAAAAAAATGAGATATCACAGATCAACACAGACACAAAAAGTAACAACTACCAGTAAAAACACTGCTCAGTCCTTATATATGAAAGCATGTTTTTTTTCCCCTCTAAATTAAGACGAGGCTTAGCATAGCAGACCCTCTGAGTTTCAGAGTTTAAATTGCATGCTTTCATAAAGATCAGCCCAGTTGCTAACACTAGTATATCTGTTAAAAACAAAGTGACAACTGAAAGAAAAGAAACTGAACGATGCTGCAAGCATCTTGTTTCCGTTACTGACATGCCACAAGTTGACATGTTGTGCCTCATGCTGGTAAAGAATCCATCTGTACATTAGAACTTAAAATAATCCAGCATTCTTTCTCAGTACTTTATCTTGCAAAAGCTACAGATCTTCCAAGCAAAAGGGATAACTCAGCAGTATAAACCCAAAAAGTAAATGTGGATAATCCTACTTGTCAGCCCTGCGTCATTTAGTGTCATTCGTGCAATCATGGAGTCAAAGTCATGTTTGACACTTCATAAGCAGAAAGTGGCTCAAAGTAGCCTACAATCTAAAGGCGGGCAACCTAACAAACGCTTGTGCAAAAAGGTGCAACCAGGGTGATTGGAAGCAGGTTTTCTTCCAGCCTGGTCTTGTTCCAAGAAAGTGAAGGTTAATGAGAGGTTCAGCTGTCCATTCAACAGGCTAAAAGAGCACAGTGACAGAACTTTGTCCTTCCCATCTTTAGGTTAGAAATGATACAACACACATTTGGTATGGAAAGGTGGCAAATAGGAGGCCAAGAATGATGTGAGAGTCCAGAGGAGCATCACCAAGATGATTAGAGGGATGAAGCACCTCTCCTATAAGGAAAGGCTGAGAGAACTGGGATTGTTCAACCTGGAAATAAGAAAGCTTCAGGGTGACCTAATTGTAGCCTTCCAATACCTGAAAGGTGCCCACCAGAAAGACGGAGAGAGACTATTTACAAGAGCATGTAGTGACAGGACAAGGGAAATGGCTTCAAACTGAAACACAGTAGGTTTAGATTAGACATTAGGAAAAAATTCTTTTCTGGGAGGGTGGTAAGGCACTGGAACAGGTTGCCCAGAGAGATGGCTGCCCATCCCTGACAGTGTTCAAGGCCAGGCTGGATCAAGCTTTTAGCAACCTGGTCTAGTGAAGGGTGTCCCTGTCCATGACAGGAGAGTTGGAACCAGGTGATCTCTAAGGTCTCTTCAAACCCAAGCCATTCTATGATTCTGTGAGAGAGAGCAAAAGGACAAATAAAGTACTCAATTCAGAAGGCAACAGCAGGAAGTTAAAACTGACATAAAACAGGACAAAAAGTGCAAAGCTGAGTTGTCATGAAAAAAAGAGGCAAACTTTATATATTTGGAGAGACATTTTGTACAGGTGAAAGCAAAGAGTGTTTCAAAGTCAGAGGTGGGGAATTACACAATAAAGTTAACAAAAGATCAAGGCTGAGACTGAAAGACTTAGCTCAACTCAGTTATAATACAGCTCTCAAAAAGTGCTTTATGTGTACATATCACAGCAAATGTCATCATCCATGGCAAGTACAGATATCACACGAAGTGATGAGAGAAGAGCTTCAGAAGGGTGTATGTCCCAGAGGAACTCTGCCCAGGGGGAAACATTTGCTTCCAGTCCTGCAGCAGAGAAATAGTTACACTGATCCCTTTTACATCTCCACTCTACCATCACTCAGCACTATGGTATGTAATTCCCCAGTACTGGTTACTAACAAGTGACAATTTATAGCAGTAGCACAAAATAAGACTAATACGATTTTCAAGAAAATCCAAAATGGAGGCTGCTGAAAAGGACTGGAACAGACTTTACAGTAACAAATCCACAATTTCAAAGCAGGATGTCTTCTGCACAGAACCCATCATTTCACTGGGCATATTAAATAGGGACAGGTAAAGAGGCTACTTCGAGTCCACCTCAGCAATGCCACAGTGATGGGAATGCACTCATTTACAGTCCAGCTAACAGTACAAAGGAGTTATCATAGGTCAAAAAAATGTAAATTAAAAAATAACAAAAGCCAGTAAATCAGCATCAATCTCTTTTTAATTTAGTCCACATTAACATATTCTGGTTAAATATTACTGCAACCTCCTTTGCTCAGTGTTTATTATTTATCTGCCTTAAAATGGAAACTGTCTTTACTTCAACAAACACATGTAGAAATACAAATGCTGAAAGATTGAGGAACTGGCTTAAGAAACAAACTTGATCTTTCCATGGCCGGATACTAGAAAAAGGCAAAACCTAAAAAACATTGAACTTTTGTACCATTTATATATATATATATATATACATACACGTGTATATATAAGCCTTATATAATTATACAATGCAACAACATCAACTATCTGGATCTGAAATGTGCCAATTCTCCAATTGTTTACACATAGTGAATAAGATTTGAGATCACTTTTTCCAAACATTGAATCTAAAACTGATGATTTGTTTACGTGTCTCAGCTAAAGACACATCAGGAATCTGTCCTAAAGCCTTTGCTTTTCAGTTCCCCTGCCTATCACTCATGGCAAGACCATGTGACACATTCTCACCTGCTCCAACACACACTGTTGGTATCAACTTATATAGAGGAACAACATAAAACTAGAAAGATTCCAATTCAAAGGTTTTATTGCATGACCTTTGTCTTTAATGAAATCACTGACTGCTTTTGCCCTTGCTGTGCCTCAAAAACTATTTTCTCCCAATATGTTCAACGAAAATCAAACTCCAAACAGTGAACAAAGATCAGTAAGTTGAAACAGGTTAATAACTGATCAAGAGTTACATTCATTTCTTCATTATTACCAACATGAAAAATATTTATCCACTTGGTCTCCATTTGTCACTATTTACATCAGTTGTGGCACAGATGTGGCAAGCAGAAAACCAGTCATGACTGTGGCATCCAATGTGGAATTTCGGGGAAACAATATAAACTTTTAACAGGAACGTACCAAAATTAGGTTTTGGTCTTTGGCAATAAAGATATAACCCTACCACAGAACATCCTTAGCATAACTTTGGAGGCATACATCAGAAGTTTGATTAAAGGCTGCTTCCCAAGGATGGCAATTTACCTTTATTACAAAAGACAGACTGCTGTCAGTACCACCTTAGCTCTCTAAACTCCAGTCCCATTTCCCTTGCTGTCTGCTCTTGCTCTGCTGCTATGCTCAGCAGAATTCTAAACAATTTTTAAGTCAAACTTTCAATTACATTACTATATTCAGAACTACACAGATGTCCCAGATAGTAATACCTTTGTTTCAAATACTGTTTTACTTCCGAAGCCACGCCTCAGGATGTCTTGAGATATAAGTTAGTATTCACCACCAATAAAGATATAACAATACAGCCTTTCACAATGACCATACAGATCAATCTGAAAAGTAACAAAGCTACCTCTGGAGCAGTTGTCCAAGTGCCCCCTGGATGGCGAATGAAATAAGTAATCAGTAAACGTTCCCCAGCTTCCAGTATGGGAAATTCCGCCATTCCTCTCTCCTACTCTCATCACTGCAGACTCCTGGGCTACACAGAGATTTCACCTCCACAATAAAATGTGGAACTGATAGCTGCCAAATCTCTCTGCTTAACCTGGGATAGACTTCTGCATTATCACTACCACCACTGAGCTGAATTATATAGGGTAAATGCAAAACAGGATTAATGGTTACAAAATCAAGTCACAACTGAAGGAATGGAAGCACTGTTGCTCATATTATTTAAAACTAGACTGCACACATCTATTACTACTAAATAGCAGAATCCTGGTCAGAAGGAAGACAAGGAAAAAAGTATTTCTCTCTCATTTCCCTGATGTTATGATTGCTTAAATCAATATTATCCCAGTATCCCCCAAGCTGAGTCAGAAAGGTTCATGCAATTACTTTACATAACCAACTTCAAATTAAATTACACAAAAGGTCATTTTTCACATAACAGTCTAATTTGCATTTTGTCCTAGAAATGTGTTTCCTACTATCAATTACAGGGGAAAAAACAAAACAAAACAAACAAGCCCTGGTTATGTGCCCCAGTCTGTTACTTAATACTTGAAGAGTGACTGTTTTCTGATTGGGAAGAATAAAAATTGAAAGCAAAATGGGTAAGATGGAAAGTGTAATGCATAATTCAGATCCATACCAATGCTGGCAACGTTTAATATCATTCCTAGGTTCTGTTTTGGCTCAAGTTTTTTCCCAATGGATTTTGAAGCTGACCACCACAGGTGGCATGTATACCAGGTAGGCTGAGGCAGAAAAAGTTGAATATTATTAAGGGTTTAATTTCTTGTGAAGTCGAGCAGAGCTTTGTTCCACACAGATGGTCACAGTAAAAGACAGACAATACTGTCTGTGTAAGCAATCTCAAACCATTCAGAATAGTGAAGAAGTACATCTCACAGAACTCATGATCACTTCTAAGATGGAAGCTACAGTACACAGAAACAAAACCTCTACTATTTTGCATTACAATGAAATTAGTGACACACAAGAAATGTTTTTTTGGCCTCACCTACCAGAAAGAAGCCAAATAAACTGTTAAGTCAACTTCTTTACAATCCAGTAGCTTCATAAAATGAAGACAAAGATTAGATTCCAATGAAGAGGAAATACATAGAATGAACAGCAACCATCCTCTCTCTTCTAACAGAAACACAGACAGGGAAAACTGCATTTCAGCCCCTCCACATAACAGCAAAAGTCTCCAGACTTAAATTTAAAAGTCATATTTGCAGTCCTAATTCATCTAAATAGTGCTTTTGCTCATAAGAGAATCATGGAATGACTGAGGTCGAAGGGATCTTAGGAGGCCTTTAGTTTATTCACTGTGTGTCCCCCTTCCCACCAAGCAATCTCAACACCAAATTCAGAGCAGGTTCCTCAGAGGTTTGTGTAGTCAGGTCTTGAAAATCTCCAATTTATGACCACTGACTCTTGCTGTGCTACTCATTGAAGAGCATGGCTTCATATTCCTGGGAACATCCTCTGAGATCCTAGGAGGTTGTCATTAGGTCCACCCTAAGCTTTCTTGTTTCCAGGCAAAACAAGACTGGTTGTCCCAGATGCTCCTTACAGGTTGTCTGTTCCAGTCAGTACCACCCTTGTGGCTTTCCACTAGACTTACTTTTTTTTGTTTGTTTGTTTATTGCCATCTTTCTTACAACATGAAGGGGTTAAAACTGGACAGAGTCCTCCAGAGGTGGTTTAGTTAAGCGCTGAGTTGAGCAAAGTAATCATTTCCTCCTATGACAAACATAATGTATCTAAAAGCCTTCCCTCATACACAGTCTCTGGAAGCAATACAGCATTTCAGGAGAGAGGTGCTTCCTCTTTATTCTTTTCAGTATAGGAAATATAAAGGATTAACCTAAAGGATTGTCCATCAGTATTTCTGCTCTTCCTCTCCACCCAAGTGAAGTAAACATGCTAGAAGAGGGGAAGTAAATAATTCTCTGGTTTTGGGTTTGTTTATGTTTTTTTTACTTTGCTCTAACTTTTGTGATAGTCTCTTGGAAAACACCTCATTTTTCATTTGTACATGATGCATCTCCCAAAGAGACTGATGATATATTTGAGATATCATTTAATAATCAGAAAGAGTGGAACATGAAAAAAAAAATCTCAATATTTAAAAGAGATATCCAGACAAATATTAACAGTGAAACAGACTGAATTGCATCATCTGATGAACAGGGTACTAAACTAAGGATCCTTGAGTTTAATTTGTTGTTTGTCAAAAGATACCTCTTGCATCTCTGTGAAAACAGAGATACTTTCTGTGCCCATAAAATAGGGATAATAGATAGTATAGTTCCTTTCTCACCAGGAAGGTTTGGAAGTACAGTCTTCCCAGGTTGTTTGGAAGCTGTGAAAGGACAGTACATCTGACTCCTGCATGGTTGGCAAACATTTTTTTCCATAAGCAAAGTGTTTGGAGACCACTCTAAGACAAATGTATTTGTGTCACCTGACCTAATTAGTGTTGCTGCACCCACCCTCAGATCTGCACTCCTCCCAAAACAGGCACGTGTGCTCAGAGCAATAATCCACTATAGTTAACCCACTGCCAGCCAGTGCTCTGGCCATCCACCCTCACAGAGACAACAGAAGCGGATGACAGCAGCTGCTTTCCCACACTAATCATACTTTGCATAAGGTTCGTTTCCACACAGCTATTATTTTACAATAACTTGCAATAAAAAAAACCTGGTTTTGTTAATGACTGTTTACTTAAGGAAGAAAGAGTTAAACTCTAATCATGAAAATTCCTAAACATTCCCATTCTAGATGTAATTTGAAGTGGGCATCGCAGGTTAATGGAAAAGCAGCCAAGATACTTCTAATAATTCATTTTAGTAAAAGTCTTCTAATAAGGCATTTATAACGGACCCCTTGAAAACGAGACTGGAAAACAAAGCATTTCTTGTTTTACTCTCAAGACTTAAGTTAGTATTTATATTTGAAGAAAAATGCACATAAGAAATGGGCCAGTACTTCATGCAGTCACCAGAGAGAACACAGCTGACATTCATTACTTATCAATGCAGACCAACAGTGGCAGTTGTACACTTTACAAAAGAAACACACCGAATTGCGCTCAAGCATTAATACACCACACATCTCTACTGAAATTGTTTTATTTCTTAAGTTGTCCAAATTTAAAACACTTCTGGTATAAATTCCTACTGTTAACAACAGCACACATTTCCAAATCTACACTGGCTACGCATTGCTCTAATTTTTCAGATTATTCCAGATCTTTTTCTACAGCTATCATCTTTTATAAACAATATTAATATATATGAAGCTACTTAAGTTTTCAAATCCTCCTACCAAAGTTTACCCTGGGTACTTATAAACTTAGTTGAAGTGAGTAGAGAACTTAAATGTAAAGTTAATTTTTGCCTTTGCTTCTGTTGCTAAGCCTCTACTGACATCCTGCACCCTTGCCTGCCTTCAGCAGTTCCCATTTGAGTCTGTGGATTTGTAGAAATATTTTTTAATAGGTACTTAAAAAAATGTCCTTGAATTCAACTCACCAATTTTTTTTTAAGTCAGAAGTCTCCAGTGCAGAACTACATCATTGAAAGAGCTATCAATTACTTTGGTGAGCTTTGAACCAGTATTCATGACTAAGTACTCCTGATTTGAAATACAATGCAATACATGCATTTTTCAATCATTAAGTAGGCTAAGGTATGCTCACACTTGATATGTGGAAGGAGATGAGTAAGACTTTTCAAACAGCAGGAACAAAGTCTGGTCATTTCACACGTCCCATCTTTAAGTTTCTACTCTTAACTGTCATAATATCTCTTCTTGTGTCTTCTGGTGTCTACAGCAAAAGCATATCTTTAAGAATCTGTTAATACAATACTAGTGGTTTATGTTTTTATTGTTCCTAGTTGAGTCTCAGGTGAGGCCCCCTCATAGCACAGTATGGACCTATCTGATACCTTGCATCCTTGCCTTTGTCCTCTATTCTCCTCTCCCCATTCCTAGCATGCCTCTGACTTTGCACATCCACCAAAATTCACCAGATTCACTCACAAGATAAATCAACCCAGGAAGTCACAAAAAACCTACCCCAACAAAAGCAGCAACAGTAAAAAAAGATGCAGTTTTTATGGCGGTTTAGAGAACTGAATCTGCTCAGGAAAAAGCCTGAAGAGTCCCAGAACATGAGATTCTGTACTGAAGTGTCAGGGAAGGGAGAGAGACCAGTTACAGCAGCACTATGCCTTCAGAGCAGGTGATGAGAGTACCCTTGAGTCTATGCTGGATGGAAGCCAGCTGAGTTACCCCAAGATTAGTTAAGTACACCTTAGCAAAGGAACTTTTCAGCTTGAACCATTGTAAGCTTACTGCCTCTCAAGGTGGACTAAGGCCTGGTCTCAGTCAGGAGCCAATAACAAGCTGGACACATTAATTCCACATGTAGGACTGTATTACACACAGAGTTGCCAATTACATCATGATATAAAGTAGTTCTGGTGCAAAGATTAGTCATCCACGAACTCACAGTCCTGAGGTAAGAAAAATCTGTTCTGCTTCTTAATGAGACTAGAATTTGGCAAGGTGCCAGTCATGTCCAGTGACTGCCAATCTGGCAGTGCTGTCTCCAAAGTGAGATGAGGGTTCTGTCACATTGGATTAATGACGAATGGACGAAAAAGAATCTCCGTGGGATTCATAAAGGATCCATGAATGATAAACTATAAACATTGTCGTCTTTTTTTTTTTTTTTTTTAAATAAGGAAGATGTTCTGCATGATGAATGCCAGCAGAGGTGAGAGATTCGTACGGAAGGACTGAGTCTCTGACCACACAGGTCAAGAAAGCATCTAGAGCAGAGTGGCTAAGAGAGAAGACAATCTTTTAAAATTTGATCCTTGTGAAAGGAAGCTAGTCTATTTGTTTACTTATTTTTATATGAATTGTTGTTAAACATTTTTGAAACAGAGTAGTTTGGGATATTGTAAAGAAACATTTGCATTTGTGTTTATGTTAACTAGTGTAGAAGTTAATAATTTCAAGGTGATGCCCATTACTGCGTGTAATGAGTAATAAGACCAGATTACTGAAATACTCTGATAAAATGCCAGATCCTCCAGAGAACGTTACAGTGAAAACAAAAAAGATGCCAAAAGGCAACTCTGAAGATGCTGCACAAACTCAGTGAAGTAGCAACAGTGCTGAGTAAAAAGAAACTTTATCTGACTACAGTTAACAGTAGAAGCACTGTTCTGTAATGAAGCACAATAGCATGGCAGAATTGAATTTATGTTTATTTTACATATTTCTTATCATGTACAAATTGTTTTTCATGACTTTGGGTGTATTTCACTTACTAGGAGTATGTATTTTGCCTTCTTGAAAATAAAAACATTATTTCAGCTATGTTATGCGTTATTTAATAACTCCAATTGTGTGTATGCACAGATACATTTGAGGAAAAAGTAAAGACTGATTTGGGAACATTATCAGTCTAAAAATATAAAGAAAGAATAATCAGAAACAACACTGCTCAAGAAAAAAAGAAACATTTCCAAATAGAACAAACCTTTGAAACCATCAGGATAGACTTCAGGAAGGAATTTAGTGCTGATGTCTCCTTGAACAAAGCGTGGGTGGATGATCACTTCTCGCAGTAAAGAAATATTGTGAGCCACCCCTGAAAACAAAAAGCAAATCAATACAAAATCAGATAACAATTATCACAAGTTACATTAGGAAACAATTTACAAAAATATGAACTCTTTTTCTGGAATAAATACTTGTTCACAACTTTGATACCATAGTACTGATGTAATCAATACAGATTTACCAATTTTGTTTCACTCCTGCCTCAAGACCCCCCCTCTTAAACTCTCAGTTTAATCAAAGTAAACAATCTAAATTTTCACCTCATGAAGCCTAAGTCAAACACCTAGTTAAATCAAGGACACTAAGCACAGCCAAGAGACTTTTAGTCCAGTTCCCCTTTAGCACTACTCCGTGACCCTGTTAGGCATTTGGCTCCCCCCCCCAAATTATTTCTTTAATTTAAGAATTATGTATTATAGAGGCTTTATAGCCAGCTTTGTCCTTTAATTTCTTTGAATATTATACTACTTTATTTTTTCTGAACTTCCTCATCTCTTTTCATTCCACTTCTCAGCCTGCCTCCTCTTTTTTCTATCTTTCTTTCCCTTCTTTTCACCTATTTTTGTAACCAACAAAGAAAATCAACTTCTAACAAATGCAATCTAAAGCTACACAGCTCAAAGTGCCAATCTAGTACTTGCACACAAAACAGTTAAGTCCACTGCCCCTTCCTCACAGATGAGTAAAAAGATTAACCTTCTCAGAGAGGAAAGGAACAAACCATATTCCATTTCCAGCTTAGGCTGGAAAAAAAACATAATGAGTAGGTGTCAGTACAAGGTATGTACTCAGGATAGTTACCGCTGGAAAAAAGATTGCTAGGGCAAGATTTTGGAGACAGTGAAAATGTTCAAAAATGGATTAAAGAAACACCTGTCAGGACCAGGTATAGTTGGTATACCCTTAGTTCAGACAGTGGGACTAGATGACTATTTTTTGTTGAATAACTTTCATGTAACTAAGTTAGTAACTTAAAGCTAAACTGCACTTTGCCAGAAGTACTTGCAATTTAATACTGAATATGATGGTCATTAAAAGACATTTCCCTGTAATACTAAATACAAGGAAGACTTAATAGGAATTTGGAGAGGAAAGGTGGTGGAAAAAAAAATCCCTTGAAAAAAAATCTCTAGATCATTTAAATTGTCTTCTCCTTAATGCAAATAATTTTCAAAAAGAAGGTACTTTCTCTTCAGAGAGTAGCACACAGGAAGGGAAAGTTTAAGATAAAAAAAGTTTCAGCTAAGAAAACCACCATCTTTATCTCACTCTCTTCTCAATTTTAGAAAGAGACTGAACAGAAAACCTGAAGAGCCATGAGAGTTCAACCCCAGTATGATTATACAGAATAACACTGGCTTATAAACATTAATATTTCTTTAGGGAAGCTGAAATAGATATCCAGTTCAGGAGCACTGCATGTGTGGCTGCAGGTGTTGATCTATTCCAGGTATGGATAAATGAGGAAGCTGCTATGGGAAAGAGGTTATCCAACCTCAGCTGTGAACATTCTCATCCCTCAGGAAATACAAAGTAATTTACATTCTTTCCTCTCAGTGTCAGAGGAACAGGTAACTCCAAATCACATTGCGTTTGCCAGGTCACATGAACTTTGGCTTTAGCTGCACACCATGAAGTAGAAAATGCAGAGCACATCACAAAACAGTTTATCTTGTAAAAATCTGTCTGCACATTCAGATCTCTTGTAAACCACAAAATTCTCAACTTCAACTTTAGATATGCTTACTTACAAGTTATTATGATTGTGATTACATGATTATGCTTAATGATGACATGACTCAAAGTTATTTGCACTTTTTTCTAAAAGCTCTAGTTTTATATAACTTTGAATAAGAACTCATTGTAAACTCAAGTATTTCAACTGTAAATTAAGTTACATTTGGATTTTTTCCTTTATCAAGATCTCACCAAAGCAAAGACAGTAGTAGCACAGCAAATGCAAAGTGCCGTGGCTACAGAAGGAAATTCTTTTGCCCTTCTACTTCTTGTATTTTTCCAGTTTAGAAGCACGAACATTCTTGTTATTTTATATGCAGACCTGCTCTAACAGTTTCAAAGCTTTTTTCCCCTACTAGTCTGCTGGTGTGAATTTTCAAGCTCTATGTGTGGCCATCACTGAAACCACTTTCAACACACAGAGTCAGTCTCACTGAATCATGAAGTCACAGCTTTAAAGACTAGTTCATGAGCCATTAAGTAGCACATTATGGAACCAGTTCAATGATGACACGATAAAAATTTTTCCATTTGATTAAAAGATCAGCCTCCTTCTGCTGCCTGCAACATAAACAAACGTTCACAGACCCTGATTTCATAAACACTGAATGAAACACTGCATCTCCACTAAGCAAAAATATTAAAAATATTATGCTAAATGACTATAACTCAGAAACAAAGAACGTCTGTCTTTGGCTGTTACAAATTCCCCCCAAAATTTCCAATTTGAATAGTAAGTTGAAATATCAGAGACTTCATCTATTAAGCACAGATTCAGGACTAATTCAAAGATAACGAGGAGCTTTTCAACACTGCCCAACTTTGAATCCAGGATTTAAACACGCTACAATGTGTAACCAGATCATCTCACATTTTTCTTTCCTTAAACTGCTATAAGATCCCTGGTGAGATGATGGCTGATGACAGATGACAGAGCTTATTGTCTCAACTGACTGCCCAAAAAGACCTAAAATCAAGAAAGTACTGTGAATATTTTTAATTATTTCCAACTCGTGTGCACCAAAAAAGCAGAGGCTTCTGTAATGTTTTTAACTCCAAAATTCCTCTAATAAGTTCAACAGACAAGCCTAGGTGCTTGGGAAGCAATATGACATATATTTTACATACACAAATTAAAAATTTAATACACAAGTTTCCCTTTAAAGTATCACGAAAGGCTATCTTTATCAGTCCCTGGGATCATTATGTGACCAATGACTGCATGGTTGATCTCCTTCTCAAGACTGAGTTGATAACTTTAGTGATGTTCCAAATCATATGGTTTCTAAAAAAAAAAAAAAAGAAAAAAAAGAAAAAGAAAAAAAATACCAGTGTAAACCTTCAGAAGTCTAGAAGTTTTAGATTTGCAATTTAGCGTGACCTCTGTCAAAGTTCATAAGGTCTCCATCTGTGTGTAAGTAACTGCTAGGCTACAGAAATATGGACCCCTAGAGCAGCTTGCTCCTGACTACCTGCTGCTTCCAAAACACTGGCCAGACATTAGCCTCACACTCTCACAGGATCAAACAGAGGCTAACAGGCAGTGCTTATTTCATGCAAAGTTAGACACTAAACTGAAGTATATTGTATTTATGTTGCAGCGGTTTTCAGGGAATTTTGCTTTTTCTTGACCAGGTCTACAGTCTGCCAGGAACAAAATCACATTTGTTAGCGTGACAAGCCATGACATTTTCAACAAACAAACAAAATCCTAAACTATATCAGTTTATTTCCCCCAGAAAACAAAATTTCACTTCAGCATCATCTTTTTTACATTAAGACTGATGCAGAACTGCAGTTACAGTCTTTCCTTTAAGTCAAAATATAATAAAAAATAATAATCACTGCTCCTTGTACCTCTACTTTTTCATTTCACTTGGTTGTATTCTTCATAACACGTTACATCACTAGAAGCTGTGTTTAAGATATACTTCTTGGTTTTCAATTTTTACACATCATTTTCCAGAATACATTTCTAAAGGAGAGTACACCAGCATTTAACTTCTGGAGATCTAATGAAATTTTTTAAAACTATATATTCGTATGCTCTATATAGAATACATATCCTGAGGTTCCATTAATTCTCCAGTTAAATTGTAGTTATTGCCTAACGAATACAGGAACACACTAAATAATCACACTGTTCCCCGAAGCTTATTAGCAACCCCTGTTTGAAGAAGACCTCATTAAAAAAAAATAAATTAGAATCAGAAGAAATTACTCTCCATACTGCCTACCTCTATCTTGCCTCCTTTCCTTCCTCATTCTCTGCCTTAAAAACTCTGCTAAGTATACTAGATTTTTCATTAACTTACAAAATGTAGCCTAACTCCTAAGCCGTCCTCATAAGAAAACACCAAGACAACAATAAGATCAATTTTATAGAAAACTAATTTTATAGTAGGTTTATAAAAAGGATATCACATCACACTTTTACTCACTAAAAATCAGAAGTTGGAATGCCAAGGCACAAACCATAAGCAATGTTTTCACTATAAATATTTACTGACACTAAACATATTCAGTGTTGATTAGCCTTTTTACAGTATTAAGCTTCTGTCATCTTGATGCCTGCAAACACAAATCTGCATTTATCCACGTAAACTTAATTGGAGTACTACATGCCTTTCTGTAGATAAGCAGTTGAACAGACTTAACTTGCTAATAATTTCAAATTGTGCTAAGTGGAACAGAAGTAACTTCATTTGCATACATACTGATTGCAAAACCAACATGTGGAGTAGAGTATTAGAGGTTTCTCTTTTTAAAAATCCAGCAAAGCTAAATTATCACTCAGCAATTTAAATGCTCATTAAGAATAAATGTGATGAAGCTTAGAAGGCATTCTGTTTCTATAAACAACATATTAAAAAAAATTATTACATGACTGTCCACTTAAAACAAGAACATTATCTGATTTGCACAGACTACAAAAACATCACTTTCAACACATGAACTTCTCAAGTCCATTATTACCACCCAGCTAGCCTCCACGTTTGCAAGTCCAAAAGTTTTCATAATATTCCCCCAAACCCTCAACATTCAACTTTTTAATCATCTTTCAAAGCTTGCGTTTTGCTGCAATTCACTTCAGAGCAGGCTATATGCGTATGAAGTCCCATTCCAAAAGCGAGAAAAAAAAGGGACGTTTAGCTTTGTCATTTTAATACATAAACATCCACATAATATTCTTACATCTGTATCATTACACCACTGACCCTCAGAGCTGAACATGTATTTCAATTAAAACAATAATTCTTTCAGATATTCAAGTCTGGAGATCACAGAACT